CCCTTTGATGCAAAACAATCCCATAAATCTCTGCTTTCCTGACAAGACAGATTGCACAGATGTAATGTGTAGATACTTGTTTACATTTTGTATAACCCAGATTGGAGCATAGCTTATGTACTTTCTAAATTGGTCTTTGCCCAAATTCGCTGGAATGCCGTGGCTCAAAAATTCCAAGAAACTGAGAACATAACATGCCATTGCCACTGTTTTTGCATAGGGAAAACATTAATCCAGAAGCTAGTGTGCTCCAGCAGGCAGTGCTGGACTTGTTTGGATTGGGGAAATTTAAGCTTCAGACTCTGCTTAACTGCAGAGTAGCCTTCCCCATCCTGGTCCATTTTTTCTCTCCAACCCAACAGGTTGGAAGAAAATTTCCAGAAAGTATAGCAGCCGGTGATGCTGTCTAGAGATTATGGGCTCTGTGGTCCAGCTCTAGAGACAACACAAGGTTAAAAAGAGTAGCACTGGCCAGCCTTTATGTCTGCCAGTGATACGCCAGTGCCATTCAGGCACCCGACCATCTGCACGTTAGGCTGCACTGAGAATGGGCCCTATTCATGTACAGAAGTATGCTTATAAGGAATTTCTTTGTAAAGGCAATTCTGGGCCAATCAGGATTCCTTCTTGGTATGCAAGGAGTGCACACTCTGATTTTAGTTGTATACTTAGCTGGTGACAGAGGTACAACCAACGATTTCTGCATTCTTAGGGTAGATGAATGAGGCTTGATGCTCAAAAGCTGTCAAAAGGAGCAAGAAGCAATGCTCACACACATATACAAGGACATCACTACTTCCTATCTTCCTATATTACCATATAGACACAGTAAATTACTGCATTAGGAGAATTGTCCTCCACAATTAACACTTGGTGCTTTAGATTCTATTGAAAGTTCTTCCCTAGGTATATCCATAAATGTGCACACACCATAGAGCTATCTATGAACACAATGCACTTCTCAGACACCTTTGAATATACAAGCTTGCTCACTCTGTCATTTCCTTGCCTTTTTACAATGACAAGCACTGTGCTTTTGATTATCATCACACTCTAAGGTTTGATAGCTCTGCCAAAAAGAAAAACCTCCAGATGATAATGTAGAACACTGTATAGAAGAGGGAGTCAGGCATAGCCTCCAAAAATGAAACTCTATACCATATGTGTTTTGAGCAAGCCATATAATAATCCAGTGTTAGGTACTGATGTATCGCAAATCAAGGCAGCAAACATGGGGTCCCCTGATTTCATCAACTCAATAATCCTATATGGCAGGGCGGTGGAGAAATTGTAACAGGCTCAAGTTCATTCACTGAACTATGTGGCTAACCAGAGATTTCAACTGACTGCCTGATCCAACACTCTAGAAACAAGCTTGGGTACTGTTCAGCTTGTTGGAAAAATGGGTATCATATGAACATTTTAAAAGGATGCATTTTAATCTGAATCATATGTTCTGCTGTTCATGCTGGGTCAACAAGAATGAATCAATTAATCAATTAATGAATCAATGAACGAATCAATGAATGAATCAATGTAGCAAGCAAATGAATACTATATAGCATCTCCTAATAAAAGCCTTTGCTGTCCCTTCTTTTAGGCAAATTTAAATATATTGCTGCAAGAAGGATTTTCCAGGTTAGAAAAGATTCAGGTCTTTCAAAACTGTTAATTTTGGCTGGTTATATGTTTTACAGAAATAAATGTTTAATAGCATCAGACAATAACTTCTGTATATTCTTAATTACTCCATGCATCTGACAAAGTGAACTCATGAAAGTTATGCCTTTTAATAACATTTGTTACTCTAATCGAAGAAGATGCTAGTAGACTTCTGATTTTTCACTACCTTAGACAAACATGGTTCTTCTACAATCTCTACATAAGGGGTGTGTCCCTGTATAGTATGATAACAACTGGACATAATATCATTTGCTCATTTTTTTCAAGCAGAAGAATTCTTTTCTAGATCTCATTGTTAGTGAAAATATTGCAAAGTTTTTCTGCAGGCCTCTTAAAAGATTTAAATATTAAAGGGTGGGTTTTTTCCCTTTCCCTTTCCTTTTCTTTTTTCTTTCTTTTTTTGTCTCTCTAGAGCACCATCTCAGTTTCTTTACTGCCCACCACAGGTCACTTCCTAAGCGTCTTACACTGTTTTGCACTTTGTAACTTACAGAACATAACTGGTCATACTTGGCTGGATAGACAGTAAGGTAAGAGACCTGGTTCTTAAAGCAAAGGAGCCATTAGGACACACTGATTCAAGTTAAAGACAATTGCCAAGCTTGTTTTCTAATTTTCAGGAGTTCATAGCTTTATCTACACTTCTGCTGGGAATGGAACACAGGAGGGAAATTTGGAACACAGATCCCTATTCTTGTCTAAAGTTAATTGGTTTGAAATTATATCCACTCCTAATTCCTTTCTGAAAAGGGAAAGACTTTTGTTTACAGCAAAAAGCTTTAATCCGCAGCTCTGGCCAAACTACATTCTGTTTGGTCATTCATGCTGGTCACACACACATGCAGTCCCGAGCCTGCCTGTGCTCATCTATCAAGCTGGCAATGGAGGAGAGCTCTGAGATTCATTGCAGGGGGGAAGAAAAGAAGGGGAGAAGAGATGGAGTGGAGCAGGGACACGGCTGTATGACATCAGGCTGCAGTTTAGCCAAATGTTTTTAAAACCCAGCCTCAGCTTTACACAGCAGGTATGAAAGAAATGGAGTGAACACAATTTTGCTGGGGCTGTTCTCTCTTCCTCCCTCCCTCCCTTTGGACTCTGAAGTTTGGAGTGACCGAAAGTAACCCGGCAGCCATCTCTCTCTCTCTCTCCTTTTTTTCAACATTACCATAACAGCCAGAACAGAACAAAACAGGCAGCTGCCTCCTCCTATTCCTTCTCTAGGTTACTTTCCCACCACTACCTCCCCAAAGGAGTCCTGTGCACCCCAAAGTTGTGCAGGACAACTAATACGCACCCCAAATGTTTCTGCTGCAGCAGTGCCTCCCACTGGAAACATCCCAACTCCAGAGGTAAAAATGATGTAAGCAAAGAGAGCTCACAAAGTTTCTACAGCTAAAGTGTTGCAAGGCAGGCAGGCAGGCAGGCAGGCAAATCTTCCTGCAATTCAGAATGAGAACACCTTGAGTTTTCTCCAGCCAGGTGCAAAGAAATCTCCTCCAACTTGACGCCCTCTAAATATGCAGATTGCACCTCATTCCAACCCTTGGCCATACTAGCCAGGATGAAAATATAGTCTGTTATCTGGAAGGACAAGACTGGAGAAGGCCAATGGAGAGAAAAGGAGTCTTTGCCTCAGCAACATTTGTGAAAAATAATAGGAGTCAGGTTTTCCCCCACATTCTTGGAAGCTGCCTCACTGACATGTGGAAAAATAAATGGGTGATTTTTCAGATGGTACTGTATAGTATAGTATATACAGCTTTCTCTTCCACACACACCCTCATGCTCAAGATGGAGAGCTTCCAAATAGGAAACATTCCTGTACTTTCCAGAAAATTTACCAAACAACTTTCTGCAACAACAACAACAAAAATGCAGTAAGCTTTGGGGTATTGGATACACTCAGTCCTCAAGCAGGATTTGGGATAGGCAATACGGCAGACAGATAATTCCAACATACAATTCTATTAGTAGCTCCCCCAAAAGAAGCATAGGACAGTTTCTTGGGTAAGTGAACACTACTGGTGGCAGATTGCAAAGTTTCCAATCCCATAGCATGTCTTATCAAAGTTCTTCCATGTAACTCTGCACTGCTACTATCATCTGTACAAATCCATCCATTTAAACACACAATGTCACTTCTAGTTAGTTGCTTCTTAGACTTAACCCAGCAATTTCTGCCTTTTATGGTTGGCATGGGCCAGCCTTCCCCAAAGAAGGCACCCAACAGATACCTTCACTTCAGTTCCCATCATTTTCAGCCACCAACAGCTCTAGGTTGGCAGGGATGATGGGACATGTAGTAAAATACCATCAGATGGCTTCCATATTCAGCGTTACCATAAACACCAACCAGTTCCTCTCTGCTGTGCTCATCCACATCGCCTGCAGCCCGTGTCTCCGTTGCCCTCCGGGAACAGCGTGGAGGGGAGAGTGCAGAAGGGGGGCAGCAGCGCTGCTTGGCATAAGCCAGAACCACTTTTGAGCGGCTGGAAGGAACCAAGCTTTCAAGTCGAAAAAGGAGCGGAAAGGGAAAGGGAGCGGGGCATTTGCACCACAGCAGAAGTGGCGGGACTGGGATCTTGACAGGTGGCGCTGAAAACCACCCTCCTCACGTCCTGGGCTAAAAGAGGAAACAGAAAAGTACCTGCCTGTTTATTTGCTACCGAAGGGGAGACGGCTGTCCCCGCACCGAGCTCCGGCACAGCAACTCCAAGGGTCTACGCCCGGCTGACGAAACGAGTCCTGCCCTACCAACCGCTCTGCCCGAACATATGGTGGGAAATCGCCTTTGGGCTCATTCTCCGGAACCTCGGTCCTCCAACCGATCGAGAGCAGCCGGCTCCTACAGACCGTGTCCTTCAAAGGAGGGAAGAAGGGGGGCTCCTCCGTAATAGGCTGTTCTCTCCCCCCCCCCGCGCCCCTCCTTTATTACAAACAACTTGGCGCGCACGGAACGCCGTGTTCGCTTCCACGTACTGGAGCAAAGGCGGATTTTCGCCCGTCCTTCCTTCCTTCCTTCCTTCCGTCCGTCCGTCCACTTGTTTAGCATCCCCAAAGCCAGAGTTCCCCAGAGGCCGGCTAACCGCTCGGTCCGCTCCTCTCCAGTGATTCAGGAGATCTGCTAGCAGCTCATTCCCTTCCCGTGTAACGCGGCTGCACAAGCGCGCACACAGACATACACGCGTTGCCGGAACTCGTCCAAGAACCGTCCGCATCTCTTTCTTTCTCTCCTTCTTCCCCCTTCTCTTCTCTCCCGCCCCCCCACTCCCC